TTGATGCTTCATTGACTGAGAACAAAACGATGTTGACAGATAGTTAAATAAGAGTAATACATTGTTTCAATTGCTTCCTTTTACATCTAAAAAGGAGGGGAAAAAGTAACTGAAAATTGAAACTAGCTCGGTGGCTGGATCTGTGCTTAAAAGGATGGATACAAATAGAAATTGTTTCCTTTAGAGGGAGCTTTTGGAACTGTTGCAGGAGTGGAGCTGGGGAATTTTCTAGCTGCAGAGATTAAAGAGTGCGAGAACTAGAGTTTGACCTTGGGCAAGAATGTTGACAGAAGAAGCCCTAGTGATTGCATTTTGCAAGACAAGTGCTTTATTGGAACAGCTTCATGAGAAGATGGATGTGAGGATTACTAAAATTGACAACTTGGGGGGGGAAACGGCCGAGTTGGGACAAAAAGGGAATACTTATACAGAAATTACTCAGGAATTGACCCAGGAATCTGTTTTGACATGGCAAGTTGTGGAGAAGATGAAGGAGAAAGTTGTTGAATCTCAAGTAATTCAAGTGGAGGGAGCCCCGGCCTCCCAGAGGCAATTTGATGAACATAAGCTGTTGCCTTTTATGATTGAATCTAGAGAAAGTCAGATTTAGTGGGATGGAGCCCTGCTTGGATTGGAGAAGGAAAGTTGGCTAGATCCTCCTATGCAGGGATGCTCTGGCCTTTGGGACTTGGATTTGGGTCAGGGGGAGAGTGGCGCTCTGAAATATCTTTTGGACTTTAGTTCTGACTATGGAGAATGGGCTGACCTGTTGAGAAGGAATAAAGACATTGCTAGGTTGGAGCTCCCCCGAGATCTACTCCTCAGTGCCAAAGGAAGGAAATTAAGACCAAGATCAGCAGAAGACAAAGTAATGTGCATGGATATATATGAAGAAGATCTGCAGAAGGGACAGGGAAGAGAGTTAAGAGCCTCGGACAGAAGGTCACCAGGTTAATGGACTATATGGTATTGATAGAAAGGGCTGACAGAATACAAGACCAGGGAGAGGAGACGGTGGAAGAGGATTGGGGGGGGGAAAAGTATAAAATTAATTTTATTTAGAGAAATGTTGCAAAATTAATGAGTGTTAGAAAAATGTTGGAATGAAATTATATGGCTTTAGTAGAAATGTTATAAGGAGTTAAGTACAAATAAGTTTTAGGGTATTAATGGTAAGATAAGGTTAAAATAAATTATGATAATTATATGATAGAAAATAGTGAAAGATGGAAAGGATTTGCTGAAACAATTAATAACTAGAATACAAAAAGGGAGGTGTGAGGAGGTCGATGAAACAAGTTAATGAAAGATAAAGATATGGAAATATTGGATATGTTTTTAACTGTTTCTGTTTTTGTTTTGATGTATTGTGTTTTTTATGCTTTTCTTTTTTATATATATGTACTGTAATGTGTTGATTTGTATTGTTTATTTTTTTTCTTTTTTCTTTTTATTTTTTAATTCTTAAACTTTTAATAAATATTATTTAAAAAAAAGAAAAGAAAGTAAAATCTCTCACTGCCTCCATTTCTTCCCCTTCTATTTGCCAGGAGGTGATGGGACCAGTGGCCATGATCTTAGTATTTTTGATGTTGAGCTTCAGACCATATTTTGCGCTCCCCTCTTTCACCCTCATTAAGAGGTTCTTTAATTCCTTCTCACTTTCTGCCATCAAAGTTGTGTTATCTGCATATCTGAGGTTGTTAATATTTCTTCCAGCAGTCTTAATTCCGGCTTGGGATTCATCCAGTCCAGCCTTTCGCATGATGAATTCTGCATATACGTAAAATAAGCAGGGAGACAATATACAACCTTGTTGTACTCCTTTCCCAATTTTGAATTCACCAAGAAGATCAGCCTTATTTACCGTATTTTTTGCTCTATAAGACTCACTTTTTCCCTCCTAAAAAGTAAGGGGAAATGTGTGTGCGTCTTATGGAGCGAATGCAGGCTGCATAGCTATCCCAGAAGCCAGAACAGCAAGAGGGATCGCTGCTTTCGCTGCACAGTGATCTCTCTTGCTGTTCTGGCTTATGAGATTCAGAATATTTTTTTTCTTGTTTTCCTCCTCCAAAAACTAGGTGCGTCTTGTGGTCTGGTGCGTCTTATAGAGCGAAAAATATGGTAACTAAAATGTGTTTATCTTGCCTTTCATCACAAGATCTGAGGGTGGAGACCAATTAAATTAAATGAAAACAACACATCCTTTAAGCAAGCATAAGGATTGATAAAAATGATTGACATTATCGCATACAGCGATCTGTATTTTTAATATTGACACCGCCTCCGTTTCTCTTCCCCTTCTGCAAAGCAGAGCACGTCCTCAGTTTAACACTAGAGTCAATTATCCTTCAGAGAGGACTTGAATGATACTTGATATATATATTTTAATGATGAAGCGGAGGGGAAGAATCTCATCACAAATTCAGAAGACCAACATTTTATTGGTAAGTTGGACTGGCACAAATGCAGTACTACTTATAGCCAGCCATTTCAGAGGATTTGCAGAACTGTGCACACCTAGGCTATGTACTAAACTCCGGGTCCTGATTCTATCTAGCCCAAAATAAAAGCTAGAGCACCAGCATATAAAATATGGTGTTGCGCCTTTGATCTGCCTACTTTTAACATTATGGCATCACAGAACTTCCCTGAAGAGGATGAGGTATGCAACGACGCTTATGCAACATGTTTCCCAGTAATGCAATGCCATCTGCTTATATAAAAATGTGGGTGGCCAAAATTTATACAGATCAGCACTGCTCATAAGTTAAAGAAGCAAAGACACTATTCAATCTCATGATATGTGACTGATGTACAAAGCAATCCTAGACACGCCTGTTCAGAAGCAAGTCCCAAAGAATTAAAACGAGGCTTATTCTCAGAAAAGTGGGTATAGGACCACAGCCCCTTGTGCATCCAGAAAAAGCAAATGGTAGAGTCATTTCTGGACTGGAATATGTACTTCTTTAGACTATAAGCAGGGAGGGCTTCAGGTGTCTGGTGTGTTTCCGCATGTAAAAGCTCTCTTCACACAGAAAGCTAGCATGTCAAGGAGAAAGGTTGAGTGTTGGAAATTTTTCACCTGTTACACGAGTTTCGCCCTGGGAGTTGGAAAGAGAGTCCAGGGCATGGCTCACAGGTAGAGGTGCTTCAATAAATTGGTTGCAGTGTGGAAAACATTGTTTGTGTGCAGTATTTTACTTGCTGCAGATGGCAGGGATCATTCAGTATATGGGGAGGGACAGTCTCAGCTTCATATATGTCTCCAGTTGCAACAGCCTAGTTTTCTCCCATGTAAGCCTGGCTCCCATTGATTTCTACTTGTATTTCATTTAATTAAAGAAATTTATATATCACCACTCAGTAAATATTTCCAAGGCATCTTGCCGACGCAAAACTATATATTAAAAAATAAAAACGACAATAAGCAAAAGGACAGAATTAAAAATGAAAACAACACAGCAGCATAAACCTTCCTATCGAGGCTTGGGAAAATTAATTCATTTCAATTAACTTCCTAGTTACTCCATGATTCTACCATTCAAATACAGAATATAATTGCTGACTCTCTGCTTTCCAGAGTAGCCTGACATACAAAAATGACACAAAGCAAGCAAGCTTGCCCAATCACTCATCATTTTTCCTTATATGAGGAAAAATGTCACCTGCTAAAGTTCCACGTATCAAGCTGCTATTAAAAGCACAGTAACAAGGGTGGTAAAAAGATGGCAACCCCAGGGATGAAACTTGTAACAGGAGAGGGAGCATGAATTTTGATCTTTTAAGTTTTTAGTCCTTAAGTATGTGAAGACAGACTTGGAAGTGGGTGGGCAATGTCCAGTTTGTTTGTTCATTGTACTTATTAATTGGGTTTGGGAGTTTTTTTATGAAAAGTATCTCAAAGCAACTTGCACACACAAAAATTGCACATAGGTTAAACCCAACCAAAAACTGAAACTGAGCCAACATAGTTATAAACAGCACATTCATCTTTATAAAATGGCAGAACTAACACCCCAATCCACTGAAGGAGGCCACAAATTAATAAAATGTCCAAAGAAAAGAAATGTTTTTACCTGGTGCCTAAAGTGAAGGTGCCAGAGGTTTTTAACTGCAGTCCTATGTACTTTTACCTCAGAGAAAGCCCTGGCTGAATACAAGTGGGGCCTAAAGGTAAAGGTAAAGGGACCTCTGACCATTAGGTCCTGTTGTGACCAACTCTGGGGTTGCGGCGCTCATCTCGCTTTATTGGCCGAGGGAGCCGGCGTACAGCTTCCGGGTCATGTGGCCAGCATGACTAAGCCGCTTCTGGCGAACCAGAGCAGCACACGGAAAAGCCGTTTACCTTCCTGCCAGAGCGGTACCTATTTATCTGCTTGCACTTTGACGTGCTTTCAAACTGCTAGGTTGGCAGGAGCAGGGACCGAATGGGAGCTCACCCCATCGCGGGGATACTTCAGAGCAAACAAACATAAGGTTGCACCATTAAGTCTCAAAAGCCGCCATATTAAGAGCCAAGCACATGTCCTAGCGATCAGGGGACACAAGCTGTCCCCACATAACTCTGGGCCACCTCTTGAGTTGCAAACTCAGAATAGGTTATCCAACAGCAGCAAATATATTCGCATGCATATAACCGGCTGTCCCCAATACAGAATTCATGCTGTCTATCTTTCCACATGGCAAGCTCACAGATACAGCGCGGTTAGCAGTTAACTCCAGAAGGAGATGCTCCCAATAAAAGCCATCGAAACGACTGCCGTTCATAAACCCGGGAGCGAAAACAGCGGGAACATGTTTGCGCGCAGAGTTGGGAGCGAGTCCCGCTGGAAATTACCGCTGCTGCAAATAATGCCGGGAGACCGTACTGGGTAACATGCCGCTTCAGCCTAAAGCGCGCTTCCTTGGGAGTAAGTCCCAATGGACTTCAGGCGACTCCCCGAGGAAGCACGCAGAGCAGGCCCGGTTATGAAACGAGATCGCCGGCAGTCCCGGCGCCTCGCTAGGGGGCAGAAAGATGGGGAAGGCAGGGAAGGCGGCCGTGCGCCACGGCGCTCTCCTTAAACGTCTTCCGGGATATCTGGAGTGACGCCCGGTTCCTTAGTCATTACCCAGCAGATAGCAATCGAAAGCGGACCAGTGATTCAGGCTACTTTCTTGCTACCACCCCCTCCGCCCCCTGGAAATAAATAGGGCGGAAGCGGCAGCGTTTTCCTGCTCGCTTGCAGACTTTCCATTTTGCAGGTAAGTGGAAATGCGGAAAGCTTCCAAAGATTTCCCTTTGTGGGGCAGAAATAACTGGAAATAATGATAATGATTGTTTCTACGAGTCCAGTTTTGCGAGAGGCCTGACTTGGACCGAGGCAGTGTTTACGAGCATTTTGGAAGCGGGCATTTCGTTGCTCCGTTAGCAACGGAGGATACAGTAGTGGCCGATATATGCTTCTCGGCTTTTTAGCAGCATGCCGCAGTTTTATTAAAGCAAGCAAACAAAAACAAGGCAGCTTTCCATAATAATAACAACAGTTTTAAGGAAGAAGGCACCAAGCATTTCCGTTAGTTGCCTACCTTATGAGCTTGGCAGCAAGTGAGTCGTTTTCAGCAAACGGCTGAAAGTTTGCATAAGAGGCGCTCGCTGAATCCCGGTTGGAATCGGCTGATGACGCCGGAGGCTGTTCCCTGCAGTTATCAAATGAGCCTCAGCAGCTCCGGGGACAGCCGGCGACGCGCCTCCTGCGGATGATCCCGGAGACTGAATCGATATATTAGGGATCAGGCGGTCCTGAGACTTTCTTATGGTTTCTGGATCCCATGCTTTATGAAGTATCCACAACACAGCATGTGCCAATAAGTAATCTAATTAGGATTAGCAAAATTAGGGTTAGTAAAATGAGTAAAAACTAATCGGTGCAATTAGTACATAGATCTCTGTTCCTCAGCTGAACTCTTCACAGCATTATTACTTTCCCCCCTCTTTTCTCATTTTCTTTAGCTTCCTTGGCTGAAGACCTTTTGCTCTCTTTGCGATGGGCGGCCAAATCTCTGTGGACAAGTCGGTGCAGGTGGTGATAGTCGGGGGCGGCTTCGGCGGGATTGAAGCTGCCCGCAAGCTCAAGTGCTGGGGAGTCCCCTTCGTTCTGGTGGACATGAGGGACGCTTTCCACCACAATGTCGCTGCTCTCCGGGCTGCCGTACAGAGTGGTGAGCTTCTCCTTCTGGGGGCAGCACTATGTGTGCTTCTTTCTCTGAGATATGGGCAGTTTGTATGAGGGAGATAAGCGGTCAAACAAATTGCACAGATAGGGGCTTATACCATAGAGTTGTGTTGCTTGTAGGCCTTAGAAATCAGTTGGTAGAGAGGACTCTGTGTGATGTCATCTCCCCTGTTCTCCTGGAGAGGAAGGAGCATATAGTACTTCCAGTTCCCCTCTTCCTGCAACCAGCCATGGGGGCAGATGTGCCCTTTGCTTGCTCCAGCTCAGAAGATGTCTGAAGCTGGTTACACTGTAAATATGCCTATTTCCCCTGCATATATATTTTATATTGTTGCCACTGCTATGAACCAATGCAAGATGATCAGTAAGTCAGTTATATTTTTAAACTTATCTCCCAAGTTGTAGCCTGATTCATTGTTAAGTGGAGCAAGAAAGGGAGAGCCGGCTTCCTTCAAAGCTGGACTTGCTCAAAGCAAAGTTTCATAGCTTAACGCTTATGCTCTATAAATTTTGCTGCCAAGGATGGGATTTTGAAACTCTGTTCAACCCACACACGTGGGTGCCTGGAGGGATAAATTGCAATTAATATATCCTCTCCATTAAAACCCATCCCACAAAATCACATTGTCAGGAAAGCACTGTTTAATGTTTGGATAAGATACAAGGATTTATTGGAAAACAAAACTCCAAGGTGGTTGTCACCAATGGAAGCGAAAGCCTTGAAAAAGCTCAATATGGAGGTCAAATGGCCGAAATATTGGGAAATTTTGGAACAAGATGGAGATAGACTGAAATTGCAGAGTTTTGAAAAATTGAAAAACAAAGTGCGAGACTGGCTTCATTATTATCAGACAATGGAGGCATACAATTTGGACAAGAAAATTGGCTTCCAGGTGGAAAAATCAAAATTAGAAACAGAACTCTTAGAACCCAAAACTAAGAATTTGTCAAGAATGTATAACTTGCTGCTGAAATGGAACACTCAGGATGAAACGGTGAAATCTGCTATGATTAAATGGGCACAAGACGTTGGACATAACATTATGTTCGCTGACTGGGAACAGTTATGGACCACAGGTATGAAGTTTACGGCATGTAATGCCTTAAGAGAGAATATTATGAAAATGATATACAGGTGGTACATAACCCCAGTCAAGCTTGCAAAAACCTACCATTTGCCTGATAATAAATGTTGGAAATGTAAAGAAACTGAAGGTACATTTTTCACCTTTGGTGGACGTGCCCAAAGATTACGGCTTTCTGGGAGATGATATATAATGAATTAAAAATGGTATTTAAATATACCTTCTTGTAGAAACCAGAGGCCTTTCTCCTGGGCCTAGTTGGCCAAGTGGTGTTAAAATAGGATAGAACTTTCTTTATGTATGCTACAACAGCAGCAAGAATACTCATCGCAAAGTATTGGAAGACACAAGAGCTACCCACACTGGAGGAATGGCAGATGAAATTGATGGACTATATGGAATTGGCGGAAATGACTGGCAGAATCCGTGACTAGGGAGAAGAGTCGGTGGAAGAAGATTGGAAGAAATTCAAAGATTATTTACAGAAATATTGCAAAATTAAAGAATGTTAGAGTGATGTTGGATTGAAATTAAGTGGCTTCTAGCTGTACAGGCTTTAAAGTTATATATAGATCAAGATTAAGGATTAGGATTAAAAAGGTTAAAAGAATGGAAAATTGGTTTTTAATAGGTAAAAATTTAATGTTATATTATATTAAGATTAAGGATTGGGATTAAAAAGGAGGGAAAGGAATTGCTGGACAAACAAACTGAATTGGAATACAAAAGAGGGAGGTATGAGGAGGTCCGGGAAATAAGTAAATGTAAAAGTAGTGATGAAAAGATGGAATTGTTTTTAACTGTGTTTTTTTTCTTTTTGTATTTTGTATTGTGTATTTTTCTTTTTCTTTTTAATTTTTTTTTATTAATGTGTATCTTTTCATGTGAAACTTTAATAAATATCATTTAAAAATAAATAAATAAAACCCATCCCACAAACAGTCCAGTGTGCTATGAGAATATTTGTAGGTAGGATGGGAGCTCTTGGATCTATGTTCAGAAATTAAGTACTGAGCCTGATAATCAAATACCTCTTTCCAGGTGGCAAAACCAGGCTGAATCCTGCACATAACAGCAACTGTAGCCTCATTCTTTTCCCTACACTTGGTTCTCTCCCTGCCCTTGTCCCCAACAACTTGATGTGTCCTTTCCTGTCAGGGCCATATGCTGGGAAACTACATTTTTCTTTTTCTTTTAAATGCCCTGTAAATCTTTAGGCAAATTTTGCTGCTGCGTGAATTGCTAAGCTGAACACAGTTTCCAGGTAGCACCCTGTGATTCTCCCACTCCAAGTACTTGACATTCCTTCGTTTTTGCAGTCCCAGATGGGAGTGATAATGAGGTTTACTGCACCCACAGTGGCAATATTGGTTTGAGGAGACAACAAGTTATATGGGCCTGCTATAACAAGAAAATGTTTCAAAATTAAACCAGTTCAGGACACTGGGTTGAAATTCTGTGATTTAGCAACTTGAGAAGCCTGAGGGCACCTGAGCAATACCCTGATCCTTTCTCTTCTGTTCCATTTCTGTGTTGTTGATCCGAAGGATTGGTTGTATTTTCTTTGCTTTTAGAAATTGGTAGTTGTACAGTGATTTATGCCACTTTTTTTTTTTTACACTGTATACTGCTCTGAATACATTGGTAGAAGAATCAGACAGAAAAAATATAGGTATATTCATACAGCAGTTTTGGGAGCCTTAATGTTTGTGGGGCAGAATTATGACTGAGGCCTAGTCTACACATGCAGCAGAATGAGGTGGTTAAGTCCTGTGGTGGTATAAAGGACCCTAATTTATTATTAAGTTTTCTCTTTTTGTGTTGCCTTTTGTAAAAAGTTCACTATACCTAGAAACTGGAGCAGATCCATGCCTTACATTTAAAACACACCCAAAAAAACCTCCATGGAAGGCGAGTCCACAACCTCCCGAGGAAGTCTGTTCCATTGTCAAACAGCTTGCACTGTCAGAAAATTCTTCCTGATGTTTAGTCAGAATCTTCTTTCTTGTGACTTGAATCCATTGGTTTGGGTCCTGCCCTCAGAGCAGGAGAAAACAAGCTTGCTCCATCCTCCATGTGACAGCTCTTTAGATATTTGGAGATAGCTATCATACCTCTTGTCAGTCTCCTCTTTTCCATGAATACAGCTGGGTGTGGTTTAAACACATGGTGTGGACCTGCAGGTGGGTTGGACTGAAGTGTTTTTGTTTCTGTTATAGGTTGCTATTTTAACTTGCAGGGGGTTTTTTTTGGGGGGGGGCACTGAATGTAGCATGCACCCCCTGCGGTCTACTCCTATTACTTTGGGCTTCTACCTTCTCAACCTGCCACACACATAGACTAGGCTATACACGTATTAAATATTTAACTTCTTTGTAGTCTTGCTCTTTAAGTACCATTAATGGCCTGAAAATTCTATACATCATTTTGTAGGATTTGCCAAGAAAACTTTCATCTCCTTCTCCAAGACCTTTGGAGGCAGTTTCCGGCAGGGTCTGGTAATTGGAATTGACTTGGAGAAACGGCATGTCCTGTTGAATGATGGTGAAGTGAGTGCATTGAGGCTAAAATCTATGGTAGCCTGTAGACATGAATTGCAAGAAGGTCCGACTGACACTCTTTTAACATCTCTTTTTAGCAGCTCTGCTATTCCCACCTGATCCTTGCCACAGGGAGTGATGGGCCTTTCCCAGGAAAATTTGACAAACCCATGGACATGCAGTCTGCTATTCAGACCTACGAGGACATGGTTCAAGAGGTGATGTTGCAAATTCCTTTTGGTGGGAAATTGGTCTTTTCACCTTGTGTATGGCTATGTCTAGGGTCTGTACATGGACCTACCTTGGCTCACTAAAGTGCCACTTAAGGCTGATTTCTGGCAAGATGGCAGTTAGGCAAGTCCAAATACTCCCTTTCAATCAGAAACTCAGACATATAAGCTAGGCACCAAATGGCTCCTTAAATCAAGATTACAGTTGCCAAAACGGAATGCCTAGCTTCCATTTGGCGGCCAGAAGGCTCAAAAGTTGAATCTTTCAAGACAACTTTTGAGTTCCTGAAATTTGCTCTGATGGTGCAGATAAAATATGGCAGATAGAATTCCACAGGATGCGTTGTTAGCATGTGAAAACAGGCAAGACCCAAGGATCCCCAGGCATGCACCTTCAGATGGTGGAGATGTCGAGCACCATCCTGTTTAAAATTATGAAGAGATGTTAACATAATATCTAAACTCTCTCGTTTCTCCTGGTTTTGAAAGGTTGAAAAATCTCCCCGCATAGTAATTGTGGGGGGTGGTTCTGCTGGTGTTGAAATGGCTGCGGAGGTTAAGACGAAGTATCCCAACAAAGAGGTAGGAGCCACAAGTGACATTACCGCTCACCATTTTATTCCTCTGGTAATTGAAATTTCCCCAGAATAGACAAGGGTTGCCATAAGTGTGGACTCTTAAATGTTTGTGTGATTCTAAATATCTCTATAGTTTTTTACATTTCTTTACCCCTGCCCCCAACAGATAACTGCAGTTCTGTGCATGGTTACTTGGGAACAAGTTCCACTGTGTTCATTGGGACTTGCTTCCAGCTAAGTATGCATAGGATTACAGTTGAAATTATTTTATTTTTAAAAGTGAATGGGTGCTTGGCGTTTTTTCCTCTTCTATTGCTTTGTCTTTAAATCTATGCTCAACGCTATAGGTTTGGCTAATTCCTCTTTTTTGGTCTTTTTTTAAGTAGAGAAATTGCAGTTTGGATGAGTTGTTGCCCAGTTCTGCTGTTAAGTTGAATTGTAATCCAGGGACTCCATTTTCCTTGGCTGTGTAGTGGATTCTAGCTTGCTATGTCTTCTGTAAGCCAAAGCTTTACTTTTGCGGGAGACGGGGTGGGGAGCGATCTAGATTTAGTTGCCAGCATAGCAGACAAAAATTTGAAAAGCTGCATGATTTTATGGGCTCTCAATGGCCACATTTAGGTGTCATGATATACTAGGGAAACTATTTACCATGCATGAAACCAGTTGCACCCACTTAACCATATTCCCTGGCTTAGTGTAGTATCTGAACCAGGAATTGTGGTTTCTTTCACACCAAGCAAACCATGATAAGCTAAGGTCTACTGATTGTGGTCTGAGAGAAACAAACCATGATCCCTGATTTGGATGGAACACTAAGCCACCAACTGTGTTTTACTTTCTCCCTAAAAAGGAATGAAGGGGTTCATGCATGGGAACCCATGCTTTACTATGATTTACCACAATGTGAGAATGCTGCCTTTGTAGTAATCGAAAACCTGGTTAAATTGATACTGCAGACAGGTCATGGGTCTTTGCTGTTAACACTCACAAATTCAACAATGTGGTTTTGTCCCCAGGTCACCCTTATTCACTCAAAAGTTGCACTGGCAGATGCAGAAGTGCTCCCCAGAGTTCGGCAGGAGGTGAAGGAGTCCCTTTTAAAAGAGGGGGTACATCTCTTATTGAGTAGGTACATAGCTCATTTATTGCATGTAATTGTCTCCTAGGAAAGCTGAAAATGATCTTTCCTCTTAAACGTTTCCAGTTTAGGGTCGCTTCAGAAGAGTTTCTTTTTGTACTTTGGTATACATACACTGTGCATCTCAATGAAACTATGCTCATGTAATTTATTTAGCTACTTTTAAAATAATACACAGGAACAATTGGCAAAGAGGATTGAGCCCCTTTTAGTAGCATAAATGGTTAACATTCATGCACATGTCAAATTAGGACATACAGTGTTTGTATTTTGTACATTGTTCAAAAAAGTTATTTAGAGTGGTTCATGGGGATTACATACTATGGCAACTTTCATGTAAGTTGGAATACTGTACTCCCATTGGACTTGGAGAGTGTTGCTTCTGAGTAGGCAAGCATAAGATTATACAGTGGTACCTCGGGTTAAGTACTTAATTCGTTTTGGAGGTCCGTTCTTAACCTGAAACTGTTATTAACCTGAAGCACCACTTTAGCTAATGGGGCCTCCTGCTGCCGCCGGAGCACGATTTCTGTTCTCATCCTGAAGCAAAGTTCTTAACCCGAGGTACTATTTCTGGGTTAGCGGAGTCTGTAACCTGAAGCGTATGGAACCTGAGGCGTATGTAACCTGAGGTACCACTGTACTTTGTTCCTCTTTTACTTCAGGTTACTTGGTGAGGATATTGTGTATTTATTTTAACTGAAATGTGTTTTTGCTCAGGAGCTGTATACGATGTGAAGTCCTCCCTGGGACCAAGTTCCAACCCAATTTTTATAATTAGAAGTTGCTCATATAATAGAGTTCCAAGATTTTCTTTATAACCAGGAGGGTTAGTAACACATCTTTTTTAAACAAAACTGTATTGGAAGTTTTGAACTGGGCACTTGGTTACTTTTAAGTTACGGTAAATATAAAACAGGGTTGGGGACTGAATGTAGGTTCTCCAGATCTTTTATCTGACCTGTGAGATTCTGCAGGCCATGCCACGTGTCCAGTTTAACATATTCCAGCCTTCCTGAGCACCCTGTCTGAAAAAGTTCCCCCACCCTTGTTCTAAAATTTAAAGTCAACCAACATCCTTTCAAGGAATAAATACCTTAAAGCACAAGAGGATGGGAGCACGGTTGTTGCAGTGGTTCAGTGACATATGGTGTCCTTGTTTTTGTTTTTTGTCTGCTTACAACAGGTCAGAAAGTTGAAAACCTGCAATCACTGACTTTAAACGAATTCAAAGAGAACATGATAGTGAAGACAGACAAAGGCACAGAGATCGTTACCGACATGGTGATTCTCTGCACTGGGATAAAAGTCAATTCCGCAGCATACAGCGGTGCATTCAGTAAGTTATTTCCCACCCTGACTTCATGTTTAAGGAAACATAGTTCTTCCAATCCTCATGTCTCAATTATAAATTGGAATTGTAACTTTGTACTTAGTTTCAGAAGGCACCAGACTAGCAGTATTCATTTGTTGGCTAATGTTGATGCCTTTTAAAATGTGACCTTTTATTCATATAAGCTGGCCCTACCACATAGTATCTGCCTCCACTGCTAGTTTTGGGAAGATAATTAAGGCACACATCCTATGCACACATAGCTGGGAGTAAGTCCCACTGAAGTCTTGCTTCTGAGTAGACGTGCATAGGGTTGAACTGAGAGATAACATTCTGCATGTATTTTAATCATTTTTAGACCTGGGACTTTGGAAGAAAATATACTAAAATGGGCACTTCTGATATATCTATATTATAAAGATAACGTTAGATAAGACTTGTTTTGTGGCTTGTGGAGAGTTCATGGTTTCCATAAGACCAAGAAAGACAGGTTAAACTGAATTACATAGTTCATGGAACTACATACTGATTTAATTCCATCATCCATCATTAGGCGACAAGCTGGCAAGTAATGGTGCTTTGCAAGTGAATGAGTACCTTCAGGTTAAAGGATATGATAACATTTATGCTATTGGCGATTGTGCTGATGTGAACGAGCCAAAAATGGCATACCATGCTGGGCTCCATGCAGATGTTGCAGTGACAAACATTGTCAACAGCCTGACACAGAAGCCTCTGAAAACCTATACACCAGGTAAGTTTTGTTTTGTGCCTTCATGTCTCTCTTACACGTCTTCGATAAATGCGCATTACAAGGGGTATGACAGGAGCTTCCATAACTGCACCAGAGTATGAAGCTGCTATTTTAGGGGACTTCCTACAATCTCTTGTACTGCTGGTTCATTCCATACTTTATCGAGCATTTTACTTGGGATTGTTCGGGTGGAGAAATAATAGTTGCTAATTAAATGTGCGAACAAGGCCTTGATAGCTCTTATGAGTGGGGAATATGGACTTTGCATGAAATGTGGGTTAAATAAACGACTTAAAGTAAATAATATAGCTTTATAAATCTTTGTGTCCCCTTCAGGATCACTCACATTCTTGATTTCACTGGGAAGATGTGATGGAGTGGGCCAAATCAGTGACTACTACGTGGGACATCTCTTAGTGACAGTAGTTAAAAGCAGGGATCTTTTCGTCTCACAAAGCTGGAGAAAGATGGGTCAGTGTATGCCATGCTAGATAGAAAGGGGCTTGCAAGAAAAGATGCAGGTGTAACAGGACCAGTGCCAAAAAAGAATAAATCTTTCAATTAAAGAAGGGTTGGGTAGTTATTACTAATTTTAAAAAGCTTAACTTTTGTCATATATGGTTTGTATATCTTATCCAAGGCTATATTTTACATTGGACCTTGGGATCATTTTTACTATCTGGCTCATAAGCTATAATGGATTCTGAAAGTTCTTGAATTAAAAGAAGTAGCAACCTACAATCTGTTTTGTGCTGTATTCATTGAACTATGTGTGTCTTGTCTGCTTGAGTTTATCTTTTTTTGGTATATTAAGCTTAAACCTACCTCTTTTAAGCAAACAATTTCCCCTAGAATATATTTATATTGACTTCTAGCTGATCCAAGCCCAAAAGGTTTAGGGCAGTTGGTCCATGCAGCTCCCAAAACTGTGTAAGCTATGATGTGGAATAGCTCAAGCTTTAGAACTTATCAGTTCCTAGGACCTCAACACTGCAGTTGTTGTTACTTTACATATTTTGTGTGTGTTGAAAGTTGTTTGTTTCTTAAACAATACAGTATGATGACCTCAAAAAGTGAAGTTTTTTGTTTTTAAAAATGTATTTACAAGTTGAGTGTTTTCCTTCTACCTAAGGGTCAAGAATGGAACATTGAAACCTTTATGAACAAACCTGGGTGTGTGTGCAGAATCGTTTTGATTAAAAAATCTAAAACGACAGCAACATACCTATTTTTCCTTGCCACCAACACACGGTCGTCTATTTCAAAGTAGATAAAAGCTAAATGTAAAATAACATTCCATTATGCACTACTTTTTTCTGTATTCAAAACTTTCACCCATCATAATACAGCTCTTTGTTGTTGTTGATGATGATGATATTTCAAGAACAAACATAAAGGTGCCTCATCATATTACTCCCTTTGTTCATGGATGAGAGCAGAAGTGGGCAGTTTAGTGAAGCTGATTTTTGTCTTCTTGAGAAGGAATGGAACTAACATTGACTTCAAAATAAACTGTATAACACACTGGGCACTATTCAACTAAAGTTGAGCACTTTATGTACTCCCCTAAAGCTCAACAGCTGAAATCTAGGAGACTTACACGTACAGTGGTACCTCATGTTACGGATGGGATCTGTTCCGGAGGCCCGTCTGTAATGTGAAATGCCCGCAACTCAAAGCGCTGCATCTGTGCATGCGGCGAAACCCGGAAGTAACCCATTTCGGCACTTCCGGGTTGCCGTGGGACATAACCCGAAAAGATGCAACATGAAGCGGACGCAACATGAGGTATGACTGTACCTGATTTTTTTTGTGGGGAAATTCAACTACAATTTGTGACTGCGTGGTTGCTTTTTTTAGTACATTTGCATCCCCCCTCCATTTGTCAGATTCTGTGGTGTCTTTTAGTAGCGCAAAACTACAATATAGTCCGTTCCACATATCTTTCCCAGTGGCACTGCTGAATGACAGACTAGGATGGAACTGGTCTCATTGTTCCAAGAGACTTCTCTGTCATAAAACTGAAGATACTTTCCCTTGAGAATAAGTCTTAAGTGAAAAGGTTTTGAGTTTCAAGTTTTTAAAAAGCATGATGCCACTTTTTTTATATAAAAACAAATAAGATGAAATATTCTCAGCAATTACAGTTCATTCTGGGGTAAAACAGTAAAGCACCAAGTGAAGTTTTCTTTGAAATTACTTTCTCCAACATGGAATGTAGACATAACAAGGTTTTCTAACTACCAGTGGGGAAAGAAAGAGCAAACAATTCATTTTCCCACCCACTGTGTTGAATTGTCTTGCTACTCTAAAATGAGATTAATCTTTAAAAGGTCTAAACTAAAATAACTCGAGACATTAAAAGGTAAAGAGAGCTGGCAATGTAATTTCTTAGGGGTGATACAAAATGGTAGAGGGTGCCTAAAGCATGGTATAACTGCCGATCAAATTCTCCCAAACAAATTCCCCTTCTCCCCCCCAATTAACAAAAGCCCTCCACCCATCACAAAACTTCAAAGCTACTCACATACTCCGTCCTCACAATATTTTAAAAATAAAACCCACTTCTAATTCATTCCTACTCATATTCATGTTGAAAAATAAATTTTCATTTGGCTTCTGTTGCTACTTTGCATCTAGCTTTGCCATCTCTTGCACGTAGATGCCAATGCTCTCACTGTCAAAAAGCACGAAGTAAATGTTCTTCAAGGAAGAAGGGCTGGAGTCATCAAAATGAGAAGAAATGGCTTTGAGTGTCAGCTGGGCTGCAGTCTGTTTTGGAAAGCAATTTCTATATACAGGGGAAAAGAGATCAACATTAAAGCTTGAACATAAGAGCATTAGCCCAAATTATGAGCTAAATGTACTTTATAAATGCTCAACTCATTATCTAAAAGATGTTATTCCAGAAAATTATCAATAATGTTCAACCTTATAATTGCTAAGATTATAGCAGCTAAAAATCAGAAAAAGCGTATCTCCTACTATATTTGAATGGATTGAGAAAATTTGGACCATAGTAACTATGATCAAGCTAACATAAAAGTACATATGCACCAGCCTAACAGACTTATGGAAAAATGGGTATCTGCTGCTCAGGAATATCAACATATTTATAAAGGATGGATAATCTTTGTTTGGGAAGAAGAGGAATGATAACAGGCAAGGGCTCATAGGGACATGAAGCTTGGAAAGAGTGCAGTGGATCAAGATCAAGATGTAGCTGAATCAACAACAGTAGTTTCAAGATACAGATAGTAGAGCTTACTTGGTCATGGAAATAAAGGGAAGGGAATTATGGGAAGAGAAGCTGGCTGATAGTGCTTCTCAAAGCACAATGGCAGTCATAACGAAATTCAAAAAGATAGTATACCACACAATGTAAGTGATGAATGGCTACTGGGCAGAGGAGACACTGTTGGAGAGAAGTATCTTAACATTTCACCTAGCATACCTAAATCCTTGGACAGCACTGAAAAAGGCCACAGCTATTGAAATATAAAGCCAGTCACAGAAATCATTAAGGCAGCCAACTCTTTTCAAGCAAAGCTCTTTAGTAGTTGCATGAAATACTAGAAGTTCAGAAAGCGATGCTTTCCTTGACACAGAGATGCAATGACTTGAAAAAGTTGAACATTATGCAGTCATTAAAGGTGCAGGACCTCTGGCAGGAAAAAAAATATATGGCAAGCCTTCATGTCACACTTACAAATTTGTTTTGTGACAAATTTGACAAGATGTTGAAACATTCATAACTAAGTGGCGGGGCTTTACAGAGAAAACCACATACCTGCCACTGGGGAAAGGTGGGAAAGCCACAGATTTCAGCTTCTTGTCTTCAGCAGCAGTTAAACAGTTCTTTACAGTCTCCTCCAGTTGCTCTTCACATTTGTCTGAACCCCACTGTGGGATGTGACAGTGAATGACAAACTTTGCTGCTAGACCAGTAGACTGGCTGAGAGCAGCTGAGGGGAAAAAGGGAGAAAAAAAGCAAATATGTTAGGCGTTAAAAACAGCCGGTCAGTTTAATCAAGTCTATAATTTTTGGCTACGGAAACCAATAATTTTTGGCTACAGAAGCCAAAAATTGTTGTAGCCAGCCCCCATCCCTCTGTCTGGCTTTTCCTCAGGAAGAACCAGCGGGATGAGGGGAAGCTTGCTTGCATACCACTGCTTGAAGGTGCCTTTGCCATCCTCCACCCAGTGAGGGGAGGGTTGCCATGTGGTGTAACCCACAGCCCCCCTTCTGACTCTGGAGGGTACAAAAATCACTGTGCAACCACTAAGCTCTGCAGCTTCAGAATTAGATTTAAGACTTAACATCTCTTGCACTCCGCAGAGGACAGCTCCACACTTGCTGCAGTGAGTGTGGCAAATGAAACTGTTAAACCTGCTATTCATTCATACTTCCAAACCAAAATAACATTCCTTATAAAAATATAAGGTAGTTTTTATTCTGTTGCAATCCCACAGAGATTGAAATAACTCATGCATTTTTTCGAAAAGCTATTCCAAAGGCAAACAACAGCAAGAAAAAATATTTCTTGAATATTTGTAAGGAGAAAATACTAAATGATTAATAAAAAAAATCTGCAATAAACAAAAGAGGTTACCTTCTGTGACTTCCAGAGGTCCTTGTGTTTTACGGAGTTCCTTTATGGTTTCTAAGAACTCTTTACCTCCAGACTTTTCCAGTGCCTTACCTGGGGGGCAAAAAAGCAAGACACGTTTCTATTAAAATACTAGTGGAGTTTTCACATAAAAATATAGAATCTGAAGTCAGCTATCAGTTTTGAGCCTATAGCCCTACGGTCAAAGATTCATTTAATAAAATGATTTCCCCTCCTCCCAGTGCCTCAACTTTCCATTTAAAATGTAGATAAATATTGTGCTGGCTGTCTCAAGTTTATTATAGTTTTATCGCACTATGGTTTTTATTTTTTCTATTTGTAAGACACCAAGATAATTCATTTTATGAGGTGTCTAAAAGAGAATAAACAAACAAAACTCTTAAAACACTAGCAGAAACCTAAGTACATAGCAAATGCAGCCAACTTTAGGATGGTGTAATTAAAAAGCAAACATAGTATTGCACCAACTTATTGTGTTATGAGATATATAGGCATCTGAAATCTTGAAACAAGACATTTGAATGATATCACTGTTAAAAATAAAACAATTGCCACAAAGATGGAAACTGCTGTACAAATACTGTAAGGGCTTTTGTTACACATAACTCAGACTTCAGCAACCTGGAGACCTCCAGAGGTTTGGACTACAACTGCTTTGAGTGCCAGTCAGCTTAGCCACACTGACTGGGGCTGATGGAAGTTGTATTAGTTTTGAGTTCTGATGTTAAGGTTAGACTTCAACAGCCCCCCTGGAAAAGGGTTACAATTACAATTCAAAGGTTCAAATATCCCCATCTCCTTAAAAAAAAAGAGTCTTAGAGACTTACCTACTTCTTCTTTGAGGTCTATTTCACTAGTAGTCGGGTGCACAATGCCTTCTACTTTCATAGAACCAATATGGCTGATGTCACTCTGCGTCAGAGAGAGCTGCAAGATGCCAATGAAACAGGAGAAAGAATTCACAAGAATATAAAGAAGCTGGCTGGATTGGACTAAAGGACTATAAAGTACAGAATCTTGTTTCAAACATGCCAAATAGCTGTCTTCAGGAAACCTGCAATCGGATTGCATAAAATCAAAATCTGTCTCCTATTCTATGACCCCAGCAGATTGTATCCAGAGATACTTTTTAGAGATGAGGAAAACAGAACCAAACATAAGATTCAAAAAGTGACCATATCATAGATTCATATAAAGGCATCAGGATACTGAGAAGCTCTATTTTCAGGTCCTTTCCTAACATTCCCAGCAAAGAAATTGCCTTTATGCTGCAAACCAAGTTTATGCTTTCAGTGAGCTGCTAACCATAACTTTAATATATTTCCTATGTAGTCTTAGCCTGTTCACATCCCGTATGTGTGTGTGTGCGCGCGTGCTGCTATGCACTTTGCATTTATTTACTGATGCTGTGAAATTGTCTGAATACCAAACTACTAAAACAGAAAGCAGATTGTACTTCATTTTCTTATTGCTACCAAGCTGCTATCAAATTGCAAGGCTCTCACTTTCAAACTAGGGCTACGAGCAGCTCACTTTTCAGACTTCAAACAGAGCCTTTAAATACAGGATGACCACGTGCTCTTTTCATTAGAAACCCCTGCTATCTTTTAAATGCCTATCTTTATAATCAAGTAATGCATTAATCTGGCCCAAATCCAGCTGCACATGTGCACAGCAGTAATTGGGCTTCTGTGTGCATAGCCTGTATCAGATAACTGGTGATAACACTGATCACCCATACAGGGGAAGGAGGTAATGGGAGAGAGGGTACAAAATCCAGTCCCGTAACCAACAAATGGTTAGAATAACTGCCGGTTTTCTGACTGCAGCGCAAGCATCTGGATGCAGGGAGGAATTATGCAAGCAATTACTCATTCACCTATGGAAACAATTACTCATTCACCTATGGAAAGAACCCTGCTTTCCCACCCCCAGCTGATCAGGGCACTTGATTTCTGTGTTTACTATATGCATATGTATCTATAGTTACAGAGATTCGCCTGAAATAAACTGGACTAAGGGCACATAACTTCCCCTCTAATAGGTTCATTGTTTTCAGTTTGCACAAGAAATACCTAACATTTTTGGATTTCAATTTTACTAAAGCTGCATCTTCCTATTATTACTATCATTAAATTTATATACTGCCCTTCATTGGAAGTTCTCAGGGTGGTGCACATCACAGAGAAAGAACAAATAGTGAGAACAAAAGCAAAACAAAACAATACCCCCCCGCCCCATTCCCACAAACACATTTAAAAACCCACAGAATATTAATCATCCTGGTCAAAGAGGAACATTTTCACCTGGCACATAAGGATATTTAATGAGGGCACGCAGTGAGCGAACCTCGCTGGGGAGAGCATTTCACAAACGGGGAGCCACTGCAGAAAAGGCCTATTCTTGTGTTGCCACCCTCCGGACCCCTTGAGGCACATGAAGCAGGGCCCCAGATAGTGATCACAGAATCCGGGTTGGTTTATATAGGGAGAGGTATTGCAGCACAGTGCATGAAGTAGCAGCACAGTGTTCAGAGATGTTAAGATTATTGCAGTGCAAACTAATGCAGTCCCAGACCCCTGGAATTTGTGCCTTATAAATAACCCATACCTATTTCATGCAATACTTTCTCACAGAGTCTCTCTCTCTCTCTCTGTGTGTGTGTGTGTGTGTGTGAGAGAGAGAGAGAGAGAGAGAGAGAGAGAGAGAGAGAGAGAGAGAATGAATGAGAATATTCGTTGCTGTGAATGAGGAGAGGGGTGAGACCTCAGTAAGAATCATGACTGAATAGCAGGGGCATGGCCTGTTTTAAACAGGAGAAAGCTTAAACATGTAGCTCCTAGAGTGAAAATCTGCAGAGTGGCTACTTCATCATGATTTTTTTTTTCTTAAAAGAAGGGATTGCTTCATAAAAATACTTCCTGGATCTTGAGGAAACCCTGACTAAAATATATGCAAAGCGAGAGTCAACTGAGCAAATTTTGGTGTGGATAGTGTGGACATAATTTTATTGTACTGTTCTCTAACTTGGTACCTTCTGTCCTGGAAGAAGACTCTTGGAGGAGAGTATAGTGAACCCATCACCAGGTCCATCATCAGCTGCTGAATTTGATGCTCCTTCTTTTTCATTCTCCTTCTGTTTGTTCTATTGGGGGCAGGGAAAAGAAACATTAAGAAGAAGAAAACCTAACAAAGTAGGTGGGGAAATGTACTGTCAGAGAACCCCCCCCCCCCCAATATTCACAACTAGAGTTTCCTCTGACGTGGTAACTTTTTTGTTTTCCACATGAGGGGCTGGTTCACATAAGCATCTTACTGTGTAAGAACAATACAGAAGAGCCATTGTGTAAGGATCTTAACACCTTATAGGTAAAGGTGTGACTTGGCTCTCAAATGGACAATGTGAAGATCAATGCTAGTATTAAACATAAATATATTTTGCCTTGCAGAGTTGGGTTTACTTTAATCTGTGCTATCTTGGTCAGGTCAGGTGTCCATTTGCAGCTCTGATAGATTTTGAAAACATGAACTGTTAACATATCCATGTGTGACTCATCTATAGTTTTTCTATCTCCTGGCGTATGTTGGAAGTGGAGAAAACAAACCAGCTCTTTAAATCTATGTTAAAAACCAAGAACACCAAGACTGTGGTCCTAAGCATAACTACTTGGAAATAAACTCGAAGTCACCCAAAGGTTCACTTTCTTAGATGGAAGGAGCTTCCTTTGGAGGAAGGGAACCTTTGGATATAATCCAATGAGACTAATTTCCAAATTATTTCCCCCCCAAAATGGTGTAGTCTATTCCCTCTTTATACTATTAAGTGTTAAGGATAGCATTATATGTAAGGGTCCCCCCCCTCTTATACATTACAACCCTATATGGCAGCCAAACTCCTGAAAAGCTTGAGTTACTCCTTTAAAATAACTTACAGAGAAAGTTATCTTACAAGAAGTTCTACTTTGCTCTTGCATAGTATATACTGGGGCTATTAATAATGAGCACCCTCTGAAATGAACCTGACCACAAAGAAAGACATTATAATGAGGCAATGAGACCGATCCTAAGAGGGATAGCATAGCCTGTTTTCCAAATAGAGCTGCTTGGTCCAAGTTTTGCTTACCTTTTTGGGTGCCCGGGCTTTTGCAGCCTTTGTTTTCTTTCCAGTCTTCTTGGTCCCCAAATATTTCCTCCCTCTCTTCTCTGGAGAAGGTGAAAGGATAGTATCCGATTTGCTTTTGGTGCCTCGTTTTTTGGCAAGAAGCTCTGGATGAATCCTGGGCAGGACACCTCCACTTGCAATGGTCACTCCTTTTAGCAACTGCAGAAAGAAGCAGTGTACAGAGACAGGACATACCTGAATACAAGTTCTCTTGAGGGTACTCATTCACTTTGATAGATTTGCTTGTTGTTTTTACAAACAATTCACTGTACAAAATGGAAAAACTCCAAATATGCAGCTCTGCTTTCATGCTTAAAAAATAAAAATAAAAATAAGCAAAATAAAAATAATAAATTCAGTTATACTTCCTACATTTAATACAAAAAGGAAGACACAATTTATAGATCAGATTGCTGATACTGAAGGCCCATGAGCTTTGGTGACAATATACTCGTTTATGCTGTTATAACATTCTCCAATATTTCATGGATGAGAACTGAGCCACTCTTTTGTGCATGTCCAAGTATTTCTGGAGTGGAGTCTGGCACCTCAGCAGCATGCCTGGCTACATAACGCTGCGGCCAACACAATTCAGACTCAATCTGCCAAAAGTAGAAACTGGGGGGGGGGGCCACTAGGGGGCGCATTGGAAGATGGCTGACAATACCATCTCTCCGACCCACACGGGGTAATTAAGAGGCTGTTATGGGAGTAGGCAGCCTCCTTTTTTGCCCCAAGGAAATGGGGAACACTGCCCTTGCCTGCTGTGCCCATAAATCACCCCCTAATTCGAAAGAAGGGGGTGAGGGCCCTAGGCAGAATGCCCCTGTGTGGACCTCGGCTCTCCTGGACGCTGTCTCTGATCGCGCACTAGCTGCAGCAATTTGGAATAATTAATTACAAAAGAAGCAAATGCACATATTTCAAGTGAAGAAGGGGAGTGAAGTCTGCTAATTTAAGTGACCTCTGCGAAAGAAGACGACAGGTTGGAGAAACAGGAATATGTTACGATGAAGATACACCAAAGGCTGGGTATGTTGACAACGGGACTGAATGGGGGGACGGGACCTTTTTTACTTTCCTTCTATGTGATTTACAAGAACCCCTCCTCATTAGAATCGTCAGTTGAACTGACCCAAGCAGGATGATTAAGGTCTGTGTGGAGATAAACTTTAACCAAAAGTATGCTTTATGGAGATTGAGAAGCAATAAGAGCTTTTGGAATGGCGCAGCAATTAATTCGGAATCGCCATCTTGCCAAAGGATTTATAGCCGAGAGAAGGAACGGACTTGTTTACAGACTGCATTCTTGGTGAATCTCCTCAGAGGTTTTGAGAAAGGAGGCAGATTGGTGAAGATTAATGATGCTAAGACTGTTTTGATGTATGGAAGTGATGTTACATGGAAAACGTCTGGATATGGCTACTGGATAAAAAATAATATCATCCACGCAGGATTACAAAATGTCTAACCAGCTTGTAGAGCCTATCAGAGGTCACAAAGAGAAAGGAAAAATATATGAAAATAACAGTAAGAGATGTGGAAAAACAAGAAGAAAGGACTGGATAGTACTGTGAACATCATAAGGTTAGATTTGTGGACCTTAAAACAGCAGTAAGAAGCAAGAAGTTGATTGGATCCCCTTCAGAACTTGAAATAAGGGTACCCCCAACAAAAATTTAAAATTTGGCTGTGTAATTTGGAATTTATGTAATTTGGTTTGATTTGATGTGATTGGTCAGTTAATAAAAAATTATTCTTAAAAAAAAAGAAAGTAGAAACTGGGAGCTAAGCAGAAGGCTTAAGTTGACAAAACTAGTGAGAGACAGGTTTAACAGTGGTTAAGAAGGTGAAATACTTGGGGATTAATATGACAGCTAAAAATGGGAACTTATTTAAAGACAATTATGAAAAATGTTGGTCGGAAGTGAAAAAGGATTTAGAAATATGGTCAAATTTGAAGCTTTCCTTGTTGGGTCGAATTGCTGCTATAAAGATGAATGTATTGCCAAGAATGCTGTTTTTGTTTCAATCACTACAAATTCTGGACAAAATGGATTGTTTCAAGAGGTGGCAGAGAGATATTTCTAGATTTGTCTGGCAGGGCAAGAAGCCCAGAATAAAACTTAAAATATTAACTGATGCAAAGGAACGAGGGGATTTGCCCTGCCAGACTTTAAACTTTATTATGAATCAGCAGCATTCTGCTGGTTGAAAGATTGGCTGCTTCTTGAGAACACAGACATTTTGGATCTAGAAGGTTTCAATAATGTTTTTGGGTGGCATGCATACTTATGGTACGACAAGGTTAAAGCACATAAAGCATTTAAAAACCATATTGTCAGAAAAGCATTGTTTAATGTCTGGACAAGATATAAAGACTTACTTGAAAACAAAACCCCAAGGTGGTTGTCACCGATGGAGGCAAAGGCCCTGAAAAAGCTCAATATGGAGGCCAAGTGGCCGAAATATTGGGAAATCTTGGAGCAAGAAGGAGACAAATTGAAATTGCAGAGTTTTGAGAAACTAAAAGATAAAGTGCGAGACTGGCTTCATTATTATCAAATAAGAGAGGCTTATAATTTAGATAAAAATTGGCTTCCAGGTGGAAAAATCAAAGTTGGAAACAGAACTGTTAGATCCTAAAACAAAGATACTTTCAAGAATGTATAACTTGCTGTTAAAATGGAACACTCAGGACGAGACGGTTAAATCTGCTATGATTAAATGGGCACAGGACGTTGGACATAACATTATGTTTGCTGACTGGGAACAGTTGTGGACCACAGGTATAAAATTTACGGCAGGTAATGCTTTAAGAGAGAATATTATGAAAATGATATACAGATGGTACATGACCCCAGTCAAGCTTGCAAAAATCTATCACTTGCCCGACAATAAATGTTGGAAATGTAAAGAAACTGAAGGTACATTCTTTCACCTTTGGTGGACGTGTCCAAGGATTAAGGCTTTCTTGATTTGATTTATAATGAATTAAAAAAGGTATTTAAATACACTTTCTTGAAGAAACCAGAGGCCTTTCTCCTGGGCATAGTCGGCCAATTGGTGCCAAAGAAGGATAGAACTTTCTTTATGTATGCAACAACAGCAGCAAGAATACTTATTGCAAAGTATTGGAAGATACAAGATTTACCCACCCTGGAAGAGTGGCAGATGAAGGTGATGGACTATATGGAATTGGCGGAAATGACTGGCAAAATACGTGACTAGGGAGAAGAGTCGGTGGAAGAAGATTGGAAGAAATTTAAAGACTATTTGCAGAAATACTGTAAAATTAATGAATGTTAAAATGATGTTGGAATGGAAATAAGTGGTTTTGGTAATAAGGTTAATAAGAACATGCAAATATAGATTGTTATATGGATGAAAATATATAGTTATAATAGGTTAAGATATAGAGTAAAGATAAATGGAAGAGGGTAAGGATTTGCTGAAAGGATTTTGTAAACGGGAATACAAAAAGGGGAGGTGTGAGGAGGTCAAGGAAATAAGTAAATGAGCCTAAAGATATTGAAAAATGGATTTTTTCTTTTTCAAATTTTTCCCCCCTCTCTTTTTCTTTTTTAGCCATCTGTTTTTTGTATTTTGTATTTTCCCTTTTCTCTTTTAGGTCCTTGTTTCTTTCCTTTTTTTGGTATTATTCTTGTTATCTTTTTTCTTTTTCTGTTCATGTGTAATCTTCGGTTTAATTTTCTTACTTTTTTAAACCTATGTTTATTGTAAAATCCTAATAAATATTTTATTAAAAAAAAAAAAAAGACAAAACTAGTGAGGCAACCCACAAGCTATCCAGCAAGTAAAGACAACACTACTACAGTGGTGCCTCGCAAGACGAAAAACTCGCAAGACGAAAGAGTTTTTCGTTTTTTGAGTTGCTTCGCAAGACGAATTTCCCTATGGGCTTGCATCGCAAGACAAAAACGTCTTGCAAGTTGTTTCCTTTTTCTTAAAACCGTTAATACCCAGGGTGCATTGCTTGAAGAGGTGCAGTTGCGACTTGACTTCGAGGAGCAACTCATAGCACGCGGTGTGGTAGCCTTTTTTGAGGTTTTTGAAGACTTTTTGGGGGGTTTTTGGATTTTGGGTTGGGGTGTTTGGAATTCAAGGACTTGGTGTTGGGGAGGGGTTTGCAAGAATCTGGAAGCTTGTGGTTTTTTTTTCTGCATTTTTCTGATTTTTTGTGACCATTGGGGCACTCTGCTGTTGTTAAAAAAAAAAGATTTCTGGGTTTGGATTTCTGTGTGGTGGGTGGCTGGGGGGGTCAGGGAATTGTTGAGAAGGGGTTTGCAAGAATCTGGAAGCTTGTGTGTTTTCTGGGAGGTTTGGCGCTTTTGAATTTTTTGGATGTGAAGCACTGATTTTTGGGGGGTTAGGGTAGGAGCTGTGCTGCCATGGGGCCCAAGAAGACTGCTGTTGCAGAGGCCGGCGAGAGGAAGGAGAAGGTTACGCTGGAAATGAAGGAGATCATCCAGAAGCACGACGGTGGAATGCGTGTGACAGACTTCGCCAGAGAGTACGGGAGGAATCCATCGACCATCGGGACCATCCTGAAGATGAGGGAGAAGATCCTTGCGACTGATGTAGCCAAGGGAGTCACCAGGATCGTGAAGAACCGCCCAGCTGTTCTGGAGAAGGTGGAGAAGTTGCTGCTCATCTGGTTAGAAGAGAAGCAGCGTGCAGGGGACACAGTGACTGAGGCCGTCATTTGTGAGAAGGCCAAGGCCTTGCACGCAGACCTCGTCCGGCAACAGCCAGGAACCTCAGGCGAGCCAGAAGTCTTCAAGGCAAGCAGAGGCTGGTTTGACCGGTTCAAGATGAGATCTGGAATCCACAGCGTGGTCAGGCATGGAGAGGCTGCCAGTTCTGATGTTCCTGCGGCTGAAGACTTTGCAGCGGAGTTCCTGGAGGTTGTGACGACGGAGGGCTACGTTCCACAGCAGGTCTTCAACTGCGACGAGACCGGGCTGTTTTGGAAGAGGATGCCCAAAAGGACTTTCATCACTCAGGAGGAGGCCAAGTTGCCTGGCCACAAGCCCATGAAGGACCGTCTGACCCTGCTCTTCTGTGCCAATGCAAGTGGCGACCTGAAGATCAAGCCCCTGCTGGTGTACCACTCGGAGAGCCCACGGGCCTTCAAGAAACACAAGGTCGACAAGGAGCAGCTGAGTGTCATGTGGCGATCCAACAGTAAGACTTGGGTCACACGTGTGCTGTTTGTGGACTGGGTCAGGCCTCGCTGGAAGAGGAGGAAGAAACTGAGGAATGGCTGTCCTCCAAAGAACTGAGGGACATTTGCCAGAAGTGGAAAGATGTGCAGGCTTTTGCACAGCGGCACCACCCTGACAAGGACCTGACACGTGACCTTGCGAACACTTTTGATACGAGGGTCATGTCGTCTTTCAGGGAGGTGCTGAAAAGGCGGATGAAGCAGCAGACCATGGACAGGTTCTTCAGCAAGAAGCAAAGAGTGGAAGAGGAACCTTCTTCGAGCTTTCCCCCAGAGTCTTAGAAAATGTATGTACAGTACACTTTGGTGATTTTTAAATGCTTTTCTGTCATGTTTAGAAACTTAAATTATTGTTCCTTCAATTTTTGAAATGCTCTTTACAGTATGTGTGACTTTAAAGAGCACTTAATAAACTCTTTTTGTACCAAATTTGGCTTTGTTTGGACTTTTTTTGACCATAGGAACGCATTAATTGATTTTCAATGCATTCCTATGGGAAACCGTGCTTCGCAAGACAAAAAATTCGCAAGACGAAAAAACTCGCAGAACGAATTAATTTCGTCTTGCGAGGCACCACTGTATATTGCATTTAAACCACAGAACACTGATCCACTTTAACAGTCGAAGAACACAGAGGCACAGTAGTAAATGCCCAGCCCAAGATAAGTGAATGAATTTATAGTAAGAATTCTAGAAAAATAAAACATTAAGCAATTGTAGCCTCCCTGCCCCGGTTAAAAATGTAGCGTTTGCAGTGTGGTGGCCTAGTTCCCACAGAGATTAAACTACTAGCACTTCTCTCTATAATAGTTAAGTATCCCTCTCCATTGCTGCAAACTTCACCCAGAGAGTGTACTATTTCATCCCACTTCTCGTGTTCCTTCCCCAATCTGGGAAAACCAACCCCTGCTTCCCTTCCTATTCGCCCCAATTTCCTCTAATGTAAATTATGCCAAGACCTCACTAGGGCAACTCAGGAGTCTACTTTCAATGTTGGGCCAGAGTTCTGGGAATAAAGGCACCTCTGAGATCATGAAGAGTATGAGCTCCTCATCACTGAACTACTGCAGACTTTTGCCCTCCCACAAACTTAACACTCAGGAGTGGGCTGCCTCTGAACACATGCATAAACACTGAACCATCATCAATCCTTTCTGCAATGCCCATGCCCATTGTCTCCTCCCACTCCTCTCATTCCTTAACTTTCTCTCTCACACTTTCCCATCCCTTTTAACAATCTACCACAGTGGTTCTCAAAGGGTGCGGCACACCACACTGATGTGGCAGGACATCGTGGCAAGTGTGGCAGAAACATTCAAGAACAATAAAATATTTAAACATTTCAGTGCAGTATAGTATATCCAGCAACTGAGGAGATATAGAGAAGTTTATTCACTTTTATGTTACGTTTTGGTTGGGTCTTATAAAGGTATGTTCTATTGCAGGCTTCCTCAAACTTGGCCCTCCAGATGTTTTTGGCCTACAACTCCCATGATCCCTAGTTAGCAGGACCAGTAGTCAGGGATGATGGGAATTGTAGTCTCAAAACATCTGGAGGGCCGAGGTTGAGGAAGCCTGTTCTATTGGGTACGTCATAATTTTGGTAGTACCATAGTTTATGGATGTCAAAGATACAGTCATACCTCAGGTTGAAGTAGGTTCGGGATGAATATTTTCAGGTTGCACTCCGCGGCGACCCGGAAGTAACAAAGCGCGTTACTTTTGGGTTTCGTCGCTCACGCATGCGCAGACGCTCAAAATGACGTCACCCGCATGCACGGAAGCAGTGAAATGTGACCCGCACACAAACAGTCACGTCTTACGTTTACTTCAGGATGCGAACGGGGCTCCGAAACAGATCCCCTTCGTATCCAGAGGTACCACTGTATAAAGGAGCACATCTCAATCTGATAGGCTACTCTTTGTGACACCTGTCTTGAGCTTCAGCTTTCATCCACATGAATCATGCAAAAAGGAGGGGAGAGAAGAGCGAGGAATGCCCCCCAGCCTCTAAATCAATCTGATTCATTGAAATATTTGCACACTGCTCTGTATAGATTTCAGAGTGGTGTCAAACCATGGCAGTCATGGTTGAAACAGAACAGCTGGAAAGCAACAGCACAAACCTCCAGCAGTTAAACTTGGACCAAGCTCAATGGAGTTTACTCCCAGGTAAGTAGGTATGGGATTGAAGTTTAGGTGATTGCATTTTGTGGCATTATAACAGTATAGCTGTTAGTATACCCTTTCTTAAACATTTATGTGCTGGGGCAGCATGTCTAACTACTGAATATTAGTTAATAAAAATGTACTATTCAAATCAGAAGCACATGACTGTAGAGCTGCCCCATGCAGAGCAGGTTGATAAGAATGCTTTAAATTGACTCTAAACACTTCCATCCTTAATGTTTATTTTTTCACTTTCTCTCTCCCCCACCACCCTTGAAACTTTTAAACAAAGAACAGCAAACATGTTAATGAAGAATAACTGCAAGCCATGTGTAGTGGTTCTAGGGGTTGCTCGTGCGTAAGCCGGTGCAAACACCTGGCTGGGTTGCCTGAGTGAACCTTTTCTGTCCGGACAGCCACTCACCCGTGGCTGTCTCAATTGCTGGCAGAATCCGTCAGTGGGCATTTCTTAAACTTCTTCCAGCAAAGAAGCTCTTTGACGCCTAGTCTCCTCCTACACTCTCTGCGCGAAAGCCTTCTGCGCAAGGAGGGCGTAGGCAGCGGAGGACCGCCATGGGACCGCCTCGCTGCTTCCCCCATCTGCCCCCCTTCTCCACTGGTGCTACGCTGATTCTCTTCCCCAGAAGATGGGCTGCCTCTCCCAATCCCAGGACGCTGTCCGGAATCCCTCTGGATTTTGCTCTCCCCCTCCGGCACTGATGGCAGTTCCCTGACACCATGCAACACCTTGTTTGGCAAATTCAGAAAAAAACTGTAAGAAACCATGAGATCTTGGTTTTTCAACATTTTTTCCCCTAGTAGTGTTGAACTACAGCACTACAACGGTAATTAACAGTTATCCAATGCAATTATCTTCTGTAAACTGTTTGTAAAGTATACCTGATTCAGCTCCTCATCATTAGCAACTGCCAGAAGGATGTGTCTTGGAGCAATTCTTCCCTTTTTGTTGTCCCTTGCAGCATTACCAGCCAATTCCAATATTTCTGCTACAAATACATTGGGATACATGTCAGTAACAAGATACGTCTGTTCCTGGGACTCACTATATAAATAATTTACACATTTAAGCCATCTGTGAACCACCTCACGGTTTCATTTCCTAGATCTGTAAAATTCTAGGTCCTTCCTTGAAATGGAAAAAAGCCTGGGATGTGTGCATTTCAATACCTTTGCTTTTAATGATTTACTGAATTTACTAAATGGGGGTGGAGCAGAGCAGCACATTCCGAGCGTTGCCAGCTTGCAGTGCAGGGGGGTGGCTTCCAGTCTTTCTTTTCACTATACCAGTTCCAGGCTGCTAGCACCCTGCTCCTAAAGGCACCATTTCAGAGCTTTCTTCCTGATCCCACTAGCAGGAGAACTGGCAAGAGCTTTCTGCCCACCTGGGCCTTCCAGCACAGTGGAACCCTCTCCACTGGCAGTACTTCTCTCTGCTGGCAAAGAGGCAAACAGTGTGCCATCCTGACCCCTCCAGCCATAATTGAGGGATTAGGATTGCATTATTATTTGACGATTTCTATTTATATCCTGCTTTTCAATTATATAGTGCCCAAAGCTTCTTACAAAAAAGAAAAGCTTTCCCACTTGGGATAAAGCATGCATGATCGGATGTCTACTATTCCCACTGCTCTGTTAAAAGCTTGAACTCAACAACATCAAACGAGCAAATGATTTCTTTACCATTATACAGCCTCATTTCCAGAAGTGTTGTGAAAGCACTTGGCCTTGCCACTTCATTAATTTAATTAAAACAATTTAATTCTTACCTGCTAGATATTCTATGACAGCTGCCATGTAGACAGGAGCTCCCACTCCTATCCGGAATTTGTATGTTCCTTTCTTTAAGTATCGCATCATTCTGCCCACTGGAAAAATAACGCCTGCTCTGCTAGAGCGAGACATTTTGGTCATTTTTTTCTTTCCACCTCGGGCCGACATGTTGTCGCTCTGTGTTTTTCAGTCTTCTGGCAGATTATTCTTATTTGCTTGTCCTAATATAAAACATACAAAGGGTGAAACAAGGATTTATATTGGGTGTGATATAATAGGAGCTGGATTTTTTTTAAAATGTAGGGGAGCAAGATTTAAGGCTGTGTACACACTATACCTGGCTATGCTATACGTTCAGAACACATTCCCCTGCAAAGAATTCTGGGCCTTGTAGTTTACCCCCAACAAAATTAGAATTCCCAGCAACCCTTAACAAACTGCAAAACATAAATGACCTAAAGTAATGTAATTGGTATGCAAACAATACTTTCAATATTGTACCAACTAGTCCACAACGTGAACAACTAACATGGCACAGCTGCCAACACCCATGATACATCTGAAACAAAGTTTCATAGCCAGTTTCTTCGTCTGATGTTCATGTGAGTGTCAGTGCTCAGGCAGCAAGACCTTTATCACACACACATATGATGTTATGAACAGGTGTGAAGGAACCCCATGTCGCAGAAGTACAGTACAAAAATAAATTGAGAGAGAAAAAAACCTGTGTGAGACACACCTCAAAAACAGGGTGAAGACTGTGACCACGAAACACTGATTTGCCCGGGGGATCTGGAGAACCATGTGGGGAAATGGAATAGAGTATCCTGGAGGAAGGGTACTGACTGGAACAGTGAGCAAGAGCACTCCGCACTGCAACACTGGATATAGGTCCCATTTGTCTGATTCAATTTCTCCTATTACAACCAAACCTGTTCATGTAATAGCCTCTCATATTATCCTAGGCTGTTCCAATGCAAACTAAAAATAGGCTTCTATACTTTTAAAAATTGCGTAAAGTGAAAATTTCTGAAAGGCACAGCTTTGTCAAGGAGTGAGCATAATTGTACCTGTTGAAATTGTCTTTGCTACACAACTATGAAAAATACGGAAGCTGTATCCTCCATTGCATCGGAATACACTATATTTTGATTCCATATGGCCACAAAGGCATATATATATCTGTCAAGGCTGCCTCAAGTCTTAGCTCACAAAAGACCAACGCCTCTGTCTTCTTATATACAAAAGTGTTTATTGCAGTTCATGGTTTGCTTGACATCCTAGGCGCGCAGCCTTACGTCTCTTACGCTAGACCGCCGAAGTCCCCTCTGAGTCAGTTCCTCCCCTGCACCAATTCAAGAGACTTGCGCTGCTCCACCTCTTTCTCTCCTTCCTTTTCCGCAGGGTCCTTCTGCCCACTGGGGTTTCGCCCTCCTGGATTCCTCTGACGCGGAATCCCCAGACTGCTCTTCCCCCCTCCTGCGGGCTTTGGGACCTGGCCCCTCCTCCGGGCTCCCTGCACTTCCGCGCGCCTCTACATTTGAACTAGGCGCGCGCGCCAAACCTCTAACTTTCCTTTTGACAGTTACACTACTCCCTTCACTGCTCCTCCCCTTCCGGGAGGGCGGCTTGCTCTGACCCCCTCCTTTCTCTGCTGCTGGAGCTGCTTCCTCTGACACACTGGAAACTCCACCCCCTTCGCTGCACTCTGGTGGGGAGGCTGGTCCTGACGCCCAGCTGCCACTTTGGGATCCTCCGCTGGCACCCTGCTCCTGACAGTTCCCCTGGGGCTCCCTGGCCTTGACCACCGGCGCCCCTTCTGGGAATCCTCTGATTCGCTGGAAAGACTCATGGAATCTCTTGAGTCATTGTCATCCTCTTCCTCGCTGGCTTGGAATTCCTCCCCATCGCTCTCCATCTCCTGCCTACCCTGTGCCTCTCTCCCTGAACCCCTGACAATATCTTATAGGTAATAAGTAATATATAAGTAATTTCCATTTTTTATTTGACCTGATTTGCGGCTTTTAACCTGGAAGCCTCATACACAGATGAAACTTGTCCTAGCATAGAGATAAATGGATCTCAGGGTTGTGATCTAACTATGGAGATGTACCTGGCTTACACACATCTGGTAAAATAGCCTGTATTTGCTCAGAAACTAGGCCACAGCCCCACACCCGATTCTGTACATAATGCCCATTGTGTGCTTGGCATTTTACAAAGTGAAAGAGGCACACAGGAGACAACAAAGGGGAGGAAAATGGAGCAGTGATAAAAAGGGCAATTAACTGCAATTATTTCAGTTACATGTACTTAGGCTTAGTTAAATGCATCATTATACTGTTATTTGTTTGTGCTGTGTAGCTTTTGTGTGCCTATGTGAAGGGAAATAGGATGGCAACCTTTTCCCCTGGCAGAGGCTCTCTGCCTTCAATGAAGGCAACCCATTTATGCGGGGGTTACGTCCCAGGTCATTGTGCGCAGTCAGTGGACTGCGTGTAAGCTCATTCTGCCCTCTTCTGGTACCAAACCTGGCAAGTGTGTGCACGGTCCTATGTGCATCAAATGTGCACAAAATAGGATTTGCCCGTACCAAATTATATGCTGAAATTCAAACAGCTGCAGCATTCTCAGAATGAGGATAAAACAATAAAGTAAACTACACCTGTTTAATGCAATTCCTGTCAGACTTGTAGTTCTTTAAGATACAGAAACATAGGAAAAGTGAAAACCCCAGAAGGTAGAAGTGTTGTCTGTGGATAGATTCCTGATGTTAGTATACACAATATTTTGCATTTGTGTAGAAAGCTGCATGTCTACTTGTATTTCTGAGATAGGGCGACCTAATTCTAGTGTTATCTAGGTGATGTGAGCCCTGTTCAGAAATGCTCTCCATGCATTCAGGGAATCAGGGGAGAGGAGGGCGTGGAGCCCACTGGTCCCACCTCCAGTTTGCCTACTGACTTCTCATCCCACCTCCAGTTTGCCTACTGACTTCTCATCCCACCTCCAGTTTGCCTACTGACTTCTCATCCATCACCTTCATACATTCAGTATAAGGTTTGGAAGCTTAGGGCTCCCAAATATATAGCAAACCAAACCTTCAACCGAAGGTGTACAGATTGTGGGCAAGGCCAGCAGACACTGCTTCTCCTTCTCACTTGTTTCCTAAGCACATAAAGGGCACTTCTGATTTTTCTTTTCTTAAAAAAAAAAATGCATTTAACACCATTTCTATACTGCTTAATATACAAAATATTTCTAAGCAGTGCACTGGAAAAACACACAAATATTACCTAAATATGTAAAACCACAAATACAAATAAAAAAAACAAGAATGAAAAGTTAAGAAATAGAGCATTATAAGTGGTTGCAGCACTTCTGCTCGCAGGGGGAGATATCCATGATTTAATGTTCCCCATACAGAAAAGTATATACACTAGACTAGATGATAGGGAGAAGGGAATCACCAGACTACCAATTCAGTGGGTAAGGTAAAGGTAAAGTGATCCCTGACCATTAGGTCCAGTCGTCGCCAACTCTGGGATTGCGGCGCTCATCTCGCTTTACTGGCCGAGGGAGCCGGCGTACAGCTTCTGGGTCATGACTAAGCCACTTCTGGCGAACCAGAGCAGCGCATGGAAACACCATTTACCTTCCCGTCGGAGCGGTACCTATTTATCTACTTGCACTTTGACGTGCTTTCAAACTGCTAGCTTGGCAGGAGCTGGGACTGAGCAACAGGAGCTCACCCCGTTGCGGGGATTTGAACCGCCGACCTTCTGAACGATTTGAACCGCCGACCTTCTGAACGACAAGCCCTAGGCTCTGTGGTTTAACCCACAGTGCCACCCGCATCCCAATTCAGTGGAAACTGGGCCTAAATGATAGGGAGATCAGATTGCTCAAATTATGTGGCAACTTCATTATTTCCATTGAATCTTCTGGCATGATGCAGAATATATAGCTATTATTTATCTAAAACATTTACATCCCTGTCAACAGGCGGGGTTTCAAAGTGGCTGATATAACCATGATATGTGTTCTTTTTTTATTATGGCAGTAGTGATCGATTGAGGGGCTCCGTGGGAGAATAAGAGAAAATGTAAAAAGAGGTAGACAACCATTTGGAAAAACAAAACAAGAAACCTCAAGACCTCGCAACTCACACACAGCGCTTCATAAAAAGAAACGCACTGCGCATGCTCCGCGGCCGTTTCCTCCATCCATAACATTCCCTCTCAGAAGAGGGAGGTGTGACATTGCTCGTCCTCATATAAGAACGCCCCACTCTTTAAAGGGGCTGGCCTTTAAATTCAAGCAGGAACCTTTCTGTTTCTTTCAAATTCAAACCGCCAAAGCATTAAAACTTATTTACGTAGCGAGCGAGAACGTGGAGGAAGATGCAGCTAATACGGAGTCGGGGGCGGGGCGCGCGCGCACTGAGGGACCCGCCCCGCCTAACGTTCTTTAGGGCACGCGCTCATAGGTCGGACGGTTGAAAGACGCGGGCTGGCAGTTTTTTCTTAAAGAGGGTGTGTGGGTGGGCGTGAGGGGGACAGCGTTTAAAGAGGCAGGATGGAGAGCGTGCGCTTATGCGCGAGCCGCCAGTCGGGCGCAGGGAACTCTGGGAAACCAACGCCGTTCCCTTTCCCGCGCAATTCCCGTCCTCCTAGCCTCTGGCGGGGCGGGTGGGGGAGGCGTCTATCTCTAGGCTCTCTCGTCAAATTCCCGCCTCTCTCCTCGTTCTGCTTGTGGCCCGAGATGAGCGGGGGGGGGGGGAGGGGAGTGGTTGAGATGCCGTTAACCGGCTCTCGTTGAAAGGGCGCCCCGGAAAGGGAAGCGCCGGGGAAGTGACCTCTCCTCACCTCACTCCCCCTTGGGAAAGCCGTGCGGTGGGGAGGGAGAGAGGGAATCGCGCCCCCCGAGAGAAATGGGGGGGGGGGTTAGAGAGAAACAGCGCAGAGGGCGGCGGCGCCTTCCCCCCCTTCACGCCACTCGGCGGCATTTTCTTGACCTCTGAGGAGGACAAAACGGGAGCGGGAAAAGCGCCGCAGCCTCAGCGGGAAGAGATTCTCATCTCGCGCGCTGAGGCGCCGCCACTCCCGCTTTTTTCTGTTTCAACGGCTCGCTCTGCCGCCTTTTCTCTCTTCCCCTCGCGTTGCTCCCTACCGGGGATGCCGCGCCTCTCCCCGCATCGCCTCCATGCGTGGGGATGGGGGGGCGGGAGGCTGCGGCTGCTTTCGGGGGCCGCTTCCCTTCCCGCGGCGGCGCTTTGGGTGAGGGGCGGGGGCGGCCAGCGACGGCGACAGGCCTCCTCCTTCCCCACCCTCCCCTGCGGGCCCCAACGGCTTGTCCTCCGGGGGTGCATTAACCGAGCAGCCTTTCCCCCCGCCCCGAGCCTTCCCGGTCACCTGCCCGCCTGCTGCCGCCTCCGCTCCGGCGCCGCCGCAATGCCCGCGTCGCGCTTCCTCCTTTCCCTTCCGTCGCTTTTATTGTATGGTTTCAATGGCGGCAGCTCTGGAGGCCGGTGGTAGGGAGGGGAAGGGGGGTCCTTCTCCACATACCACCTCTAGGAGGAGCCACGACAGCGCGGTCCTCCGAGCGCCCCCGCCGCCAGCCCTGGCGTCGACGGCGCTCTCCTGGTGCCTCAGGGAAGAGCCGCCAAGGGGGCCGGGTCGCCGAAAGGGAGCAGCGATGCTGGCAGCTGTAGCAGCAGCAGCGGGGCTTTTTAGCCTTGCTCTTCGTTTGGATCGGCTGCGGGTCAGTTTTGGAGCCATCGGGACACCCTTTCGAAATAACCCACTAACCCTCTTCCTACCTCTGAAGGTTCCCAGCGCCTCCCGCTCCCGAATTCTTCGCGATTTCTTCTAATTCTTGCTTCGCAGCGGTGACTTTAACCTAAAAGAAAGCTCTCTGCCAAGGAATACCTGCCCAAACAGAAAGGGGCGGGGCTCTTTGGGAAAATACTGTGCAGTGGTGCTTCTTTGGACCTGGTGTTACAACACGGCTGTACTCTTTCGCAAGCTGCTTCAGATCGCTGTTTGGCGAGGATGTTGCAGAGCGCGCTTGAGATCCAAGGAAGCATCAGTGAGGAATCTTGTGTTGCTAGATGTCCCTCTTCATCTTCGATGCCGCACAAAAAGTACGAGTCTTGTGTGTTCAAAGCTGCCACCGCAGCGTAGGCTTTTCGCCCATAATTATTCACTGAAAGCACACCATTTCCCCACTTTTCATTACCACTGTTTAGCGCAGTAAGGGTCGAACGGCAACTTGTTTGGAGTTGCGTTTTTTAAAAACTGTTGAGGTGGCATCATCTGTTCTTAAACATGTCGGGCAGATTGCTTCCTGTAATAAATGAATGTGAGTATATTGTGTGCAAAGAAAGGGAAGGACCATGCCTCTGGTAAAATATGCAGTTTGCCCCAGCAAAAAATTATGTGGAAGTAAATCCTGCTGTTTCCTGAGGCTTCCAGTTAGATGTTTATAAAATGCTTCAACTACATAAAAAAGTCTCTGGAGAATTGGGTTCATCTCCCTATAGGACTCTACTCAGACTTCGAGATATTATTGAGAGGCCTTACTCCCATGTCTTGCCACCTTCACAGGCATGCTAAGTAGACCTTTTCAGTGACTGCTCTCATTGTGGAACTCATTGCCACAGAGGGCTAGGTTGGCTCTTTCCTTTTGTGGACAGGCAAAAACTTGATTCAGAAACCTTTGGCCATTAACTGGCTGTTGCAGCAAGGCCTTATGAAGGTGTGTGATCTACTTGTGCTTTTAAATGGTTTAGAAGTCTTTCAGGGCTGTTTTTAATAGGGTTACTTATTTGTCTAAACAACAACAACAACAAAATTTGTTTTTTAATAATTATACCGATTGTGCATGTTTTAGCTGTATTTAGCTGTGAGCTGCCTTGGGTCCTCTACTGGGAGAAAGGTGAGAGAGAAAAAAAGTAAATATGAATAACATAGCAGTACTCAATGCATAACTAATAAGATAGAAATAACATTTCATCACTAATACATCAAAATCCTTTTAAATCTCATTTCCTATCACAAATGCAACTACTTGTCACCATTTTATAAGTCTTAAATAAAAAAAGTCCTAATAGTGAAATACAGCAGGAATCTTGATCACAAGACAATGATATCTTTTGAAGAATTATATCTATCTGAAGAAGTGTGCATGCACACGAAAGCTCATACCGATAACAAACTTAGTTGGTCTCCAAGGTGCTACTGAAAGGAATTTTTTTATTTTGTTTCGACTACGGGAGACCAACATGGCTACCTACCTATATCTTTTGGTGTCTGGCAATGATTTCTGCACTTGTGCATGAATCACACGGGTTGCGATTCAGCGCTTCTGCACATGCGCAAAGTGCGATTTAGCAGTTCTGCACATGTGCGAAACCCGGAAGTAACTCGTTTCGGTACTTCCGGGTTTTGGCGGGTCCATAACCCAAAAAAAAACGCAACCTGAAGCGTCTGTAACCCGAGGTATGACTGTATAGCATTTTAAGCTTTTTATTTCTCCCAGTGGTTTAAAATATATCACTTTCATTGTGAGGAGAGATTATAGTGGTACCTCGGGTTATGTACTTAATCTGTTCCGGAGGTCCGTACTTAACCTGAAACTGTTCTTAACTTGAAGCACCACTTTAGCTAATGGGGCCTCCTGCTGCTGCTGCGCCGCCGGAGCACGATTTCTGTTCTCATCCTGAAGCAAAGTTCTTAACCTGAAGCACTGTTTCTGGGTTAGCGGAGTCTGTAACCTGAAGCGTATGTAACCCAAGGTACCACTGTATTGGAAATATGGTCTTTGTTTATAAATATAAAGGTTGAGTAGAGACTGCTAAGCAGTTTCAAAGTTTTCAGTGAAAACTGAAGCACAGTAAAAAAAAGTTAAAACAATCCACCACTTAATAGCAGGCACACACACAATTAATATACAGATAAGGTTTTGTAAGAGAATGCACACTTTATTTTTAAATCGGCTGCATGAAATAATAAATCGTAAACATTTGCCATTTTAAAAAGATAAATATTTACATCATATACAATAAACCAACAGTACAGAATTGCATAAAACTTACATTTTCCAAATAATAACCTCACTACAGAAATAATACAAGTAAATGTTAGCACAGTAAATGTTTGTAGTTTTCCTGGAGTAGGATCAAATTGATAAAGAATGGAGAACTAGTTATGGCATTTGAGCGTATATCCTCGATGTTGCTTATAATCTACTTTGCCTAAGAAAGCTATTCTTATACTTGAGGCTATTTGCATATTGCTGTTTACTTCAGCTCAGTGTGCTCCCAGCATTGATGGTTTGAAACCATGGACACATGATGCTAACCACAATCCCTATCTATCCTCCAGCTTCTTGGGAATTACCTGGTGTTTGATGTGTTTCCCCTCAAACCAGCTTCCACCTGACTTGAAAACGTAAGCAGCAGTTAATCTGAGGTGTGTTCATTTCAGGTAGCCATTGTCTGGGCCAGCCTAGGACGTTTTTGCCGCATGAGACAAAATAGAAAGTGCTGCTGCTTCCTCTGCAGCGCCCCCTGCCACCACTTTTCAGCAGCCACCTGAGGCAACTGGAGGTGGTCTGGAAAAGGCCCAGCATGCTGAAGGTGGTGGTGGGGAGTCAAAGAAAGCCAGAGAGGGAACAGGCTGTGGGCAGAGGAGGCGGCGGCCGACAAGCACAGGAAGCGGTGGGCGACATGCTCCTCAGAGGCTGGATCTGCCACGTGGGTTGACTGCTTCACCAGTCCTCATGGACGGGCTGGCCCATGTGCAGATGAAAGTTTCATTGAATTGGAATGGGTGGGGAGTAGCAGGTAATGCACATTGGTTGAAGACATCCCTGCTCCCTCTCCTGTGTGTACAGCAACATAAAAATGTGATTTGGAAATGTTGCGAAGAAAACCATGTCACTGCTTTTCAAGCCACAAATGTGTATGTATCCTGATTTAGTATATTTTTACATAAAAAGTTAACAATTTTTTTTGCTGCTACTTTATCATCTCCTTACATTTTGTTACGGTATAATGCTGAGGTGTATGCTTGATTCCATTTCTCCAAAAAGTAATTTTGTTGGGAATGTTGAAAATAAAACTGCATTTATCCATTGATTTCAGTAGTTCTACTCTGTGTATGCCTTGTTGGATATAACCCTAAACGTTTAAATCAGTATTCAGCAGAAGCTTGAAATACTTTTTTTTAAAGTGGACATAAACTTTGGCTGCAGTTAATTTCAAAATAGCTTATCACACACACATATACTATTTAAACAGAATTATTTAGGTTAAGGCTGCAATTTTGTACCCTGTTATCCGGGATACACTTCTGAGTAGAATTGTATTGGGTTGTACTTTAAAGCTACATATAATTTGATGGGTTTGCATCTCTGATAGATAAAGGCTTACCTGAAGAAAAAGGTAAAAAACAACAATAGTAACTGCTTAGGTATATAATCCAATTTTAATGGATAAATACCTTTAGTTATCTGTTTGAAGTAAAAAGAGTTTGAAGTTGCTGGACTTCCGGGGTGGCGCCTCCGGAAAATGGCGGAATTCCCTTCGAACTGAAGGGAACCCGCTGCACGGAGGCTTGGGTCCTGTCGCTACGGCGCAGCGGGGACCCTTAAAAACCACAGGCGGAAGAAGCCTGTGGATGTGGGACTCGGCGGGCACCGAGAGCGCTCTCTCCCCTTGTACAGGAGCCCGGTAACGGGCTCCGGAGTGGGAGGTGCGTGGTGCTGTGAGTCGTCTGCTTCCTCCGTGCAGCAAAGCCGCACTGCCGTTTCGGAGAGCGCTGCCTTTTCCTGGACAATTTGGCATCTAAAACATCTATCCGTGAGTACCCGATCTTGGAAGAGCTGAACTACTTTTAAGATTGGTGAATAAATGAATAACATTGGACTTGAACTTGAAATTGAATTTAATTGGGACTCGGAACGGAAAGGTCTAAACAGGAAGTCGCCTTCCGTTCTTTTGTTACGTGAAGAAAGCAAAGACAAATTATACTAAAGTCTGAAAACTAAATTCTGAGAGAACTAAAATTCAACATCTAAGATTTCTGAACCCCCCCTTTTGATTGCAGGAGAAGAAGGGGGCTGTTTTGATCTTTTCAACCCTGCGGAAGTGAGTTTAAAATAAAGTAATTTTCCACCGCCCTGAACCAGGAGCGGGCTGTCAGAACTGACGCTTTGAAGCTTATCCAGCTCGACAGATAGTTAAAAGAAGGGTAACATTTTGATTCTACTGTTGCCTCTTGAATTTGAAAGGGGGAATTTTGGATAAAGTGTTTCTGGAAAAAGAAAGATTGTTACTGTTGTTTTTCCCCCTTTTAAAAAATAAAAAAATAAAAAGGGTTTTCCATCTAGTGGAACTGAGTGAAATTGCAATGCAGAGAGTTTAAAAGAGAAGGATCATTCTCGTGGGAAAGAATTTTTTCTGACCTTGAAGGACAATGCTTGTACAAAGGCTTGAACAAGTGTTCCTGGAAGGTTTTGCAAAATTAAGTGCCCAGCTGGACCAGATGCGTCAGGAGTCAACTTTGATGAGGACGGAAGTTACCAGAGCACAGCAGCAAACAAATGAAATTCAGTTAAAGTCTATACAAGTATATGAACCGGCTGTAGCGACGGAGGCTTCAGAGATGGAGGGACCTATGGATGGGCAAGATCAGTCTTTGAACTTGATAAATGAACTTGGGACAAACCTGATTCGGAAAGATGAAATGTGGTCAGATTTGGAAATGGGGGGATGGAGTGACACCCCTCTATATGGTTATCTGGACTTTCCGAGTCTAGTGATGGGCCATCAGAGGATTGGAGTAGTCGAAGTCTCCAAGTTTTGTGGAAATTGGAAGTGGTATTATCTGCTGTCTGGCTTGGGTAATGGGTTTGGGATGGACTTGCTGCAAAGAGTCAAAAGCATCTTCTTGCTGGAGTATCCACGACGGAAAGGGAAATATCAACAAGAGTGGCGAAAGGGGCAAGAAAGAGACTTGAGGGCCTTGGATATGAGACAACCAGGTTAAGGAGCTGGATTATTGAGGTTAAAAGGACTGACAATCCCGGGTCCAGGGGAGGGGAGGCTGGAAGTTGACTGGATTGAATTTGACTTATTGTTTTTGTTTTCTTATTTTTAATACTGGGAATGTTTATAAATGTTTGAAGGATGTTGAATGAAATTATATGACTTAAGTAAGGATTGGTAAATGATTTGAAAAAGGTAATGATGTAAGAATTTGCTAAATATTGAATATAAGCTTTGAGGTTTAAAGTTTTTATATGACAAGAGGGAAAATAGAATAAGGAAATGTAATGATAGATTGTTATGAAAAAACAGAAAGGATTTGCTGTAAAAATTAAATACTAAGAAACAAGAGAGGGAAGGAGGAGGAAGTCTAGAAAGGAAGTTAATGGAGATCGTAAAGGATTTTATATTTCTGTTTTTCTGTTTTTCTTTTTTTCTTTTTTGCGGCTGGGTTTTTTTTTTCTTCTTTATTATTTCTGTATTATTTTTGTTTTATTTGTATTTTCAAACTTTTTTGGAAATTTTTGTTGTTACTTGTTACTTTTTGAAAATTTAATAAATATTAATTCTAAAAAAAAAAAAAAATGAAGTTGCTTTCTCACAAAGCTTATTAAATATTACCCTACAATATTTAGTTGGCATGCCAAGCAGTGATTTAACAAACTGAAAATTTCATCGCAACCTATGTAGATACAAAGATGTATATCTCAAATCAGTTGAAGCCTATGTAGGAGAATGTAGAAACAATGCCCCAACAATGCAATATATACCAGTTTAATAAAATTTTAAATATTTGTACATCAAATAAAACCAGATAAAAAGCATATTTTGTCATGTAAATTGACAAAACCAGAAACAACAACAAATTGTTTCTGCAAATCAGTTTCCTGCAAAAACTGGCTCCATAACGAAAATCTTAAAAAAAAAAAAAAAAAAATTAATTCAAAAGATTAGCTACTCATATAATTTTAAAAAAAAAATCTGATAGCTTAAATATCTAGAATGAAATGATGACTTTGAAGCTATTACAAGAGTCCCATTGATTATTGTGAGGTAGGATACCACAAAAAGAATCTTAAATGGCAGGTTTCTGTCTGCCCTGATTTTAATATCTTTACCTACTATTTATGAAGGTTCCTAGAATTTATTTATAATCTACCTTAACCTGGATTTGGAAGTAATTCCTATAGGGTCTGTCCTAAATTAACACTTTGAATTCATGACACTAGTTTTGTTGTTGTTGGTAAATGAACACGGAAGGCAAATAAAACTAATTTGTCATCTTTCAATAAGTCACATGAGTAAGATATGATGGGCCCTTGGAAATATTTCCATGGGTCTTTACTCACAGAAAATTCTTCAAAAAAATCAATTCCTTTGCATGTAAAACATGATTTTTGGACATGCATCTTTAGACATTGTGGTGCTGGATCCCATAATTAACTGAAGGGGAAGAAAAATTACTGCTAGCATTCCAAAAATGCTTGCACAAGAGTGCACAGAGCTATTGTAGATAGGCTTTTCTAGGAGTTCTCATGCTCATACAAAAGTTTGCATAGCTGCTAGAACATATTTAGAATTAATTTCACTTTCTATATCTTTTTTGCTGTTTGGCATGCACTGATTTCTAGTTTTGGAAGAACATGTAGAATGAAGACTAGAAATTTTTGATTACATATATTGGAGAACATTTGGTAGATACATTGAATAGAAGTTTAAATATATTTTACGAAAATATATTTGTTGCATGAGGAGGATGTGCACTCATTTGCAAGAGTCACTAGAATTAGTGGCACTGATTGAAAGGATATGAAAGATGTAGAAGTAAGGTGTTGAAGTGTATTGGGATGCGGAGACATACGGAATTTTTTCTAAATGGAAGTTGGCACTCACCAGGAGCAATGTATTAACAGGAAAAGGTAGCTAATTGATTTACCATCAGACCCTTAAACTTCCCATTGCTGTATGAAATCTCAAAATAATATAGTAACTAGTCAAAAATAATAGCAATAAAACCTAAGATTAATGCATGTAAAAACTATAATTCCTTCTCCATACATCATTTATAAAGCAAAGCTGGTATTTAGTTATTTAGATATAAAACTATTGAGAGCTAACTTAAATATGCAAGCAACCCAAATGCCCAAAGATTATACAGACTGCATAATGAACTTAGCGTTTAAGTGCTCAATTAATTCATAAATGCATTGGGGATCATGCAAGATCCATTTTGTCCAGCATTCTGTTTTCAATAGAGGAAGCTTGCAAGGACAGTGTGAAGGTGATGGCAGTCCTCTCTTGCTCATTCCTCAACCTCTTCATGTCCAGAGGTATACTGTGTCTCTGAGCAAGGAGTTGTTTACTTAGGACAACTTGGATATTGAAAGTTAAAGCACAGGAAAGTGTTTTATTGGATCACAAAATTGGCAGTATAGAGGTTAGTTTCATTTTCACAATCGCTTCAAACAGAACAGACATGTTTGAGTCTGTTTTCGTTTAGAGAGACCACCTGCCATCAAAAGAGACCATTTCTTTGCCCTTCCTGGTCCCTACATTTTGTGTAAATTGTTACTATTATTGAAAGAGACCATTTTGATCCCACAATCCCGCTCTAGTGGTGTATAATTATACATAGCTAATGTGCCAGAATGATGGGGGTGCAGAGTTAGATGCACATTCACTGGAATGTGAATCCCTGTCCTCTTCCTGGTGTTATTAGCCAAACATAACTGAGTTGCTAGAGCTTGATTGGGGGCCTGTATTTAGGGAGTCCACAGTTGTTTGGTCCCCAGGGTAGTCTGTGGAAAAAAGAAAACTTCCAAGCTGAACATCTGCCCATCAGCAAAAAAGCAATTAGTGTACACCAATGGGTGTACTTGGAAGGCAAGAAAACATTATCCCTAACAACAAATGATTTAGGGACTTACAATTTTCTTGCTTTCCATATCAAAATACAGCTACAGAATATATAACAAAATAAAAAAGGAAATGTAATATTAAAATATGAATATATTAAAGTACAAAGGCACACCGCCCTGCAGTTGGACACATTCTTACCTCAACAAAACAAGAACTTCTGCAACAAACCTGATATGCAAAAATAGCAGTCCCTGTTAATACTTACATTGAATAAGTCTTATATCAAAAATGTTTTGAAGTAACATTCAATTTCTTCTTGTTCTTTGTGAGCACACACTCTCCCTAATCTGAAGAACATTCAGTCCAATCCAAAATTTTGCAGGTGCATACATAAAGAATTCATAAGTGCAGAGGGCTTTCTCCTCATTGCTGGGCAGTCCTCTGTATGCATCCCCATTGTCCATATGGAACCTCCTCCAACATCGCAGTGAACACCTCTTTGCTGACCAGATTGTATATGTGGAGGTTGTGATGGGAACAATCCTTGAAACCTAGCAGGACTTCTAAATTATGGGTACACTGCAACACAGATCCATGCTTATGCCCCATTGATTTCAATGGGATTGGTTCATAATAGTACACTTAACTGCCCAGTGTGGCATAATTATAAGAACTTAAGCGCAAGTCTCATGAACAACTACCCTGTATCACTTCTGACTTGCCCATTTCTGGTTTTTCTGCAGATAAAGCTGTGGCAGAAATCATCTAGTGATGAAATAGTACCCAGTG